AAAATAACACCTTAGCAGAGGTGTAGCGAGGGGGGGGGGGCGGGGGGGGGGGGGGGGGGGGGGGTGCGGACCACACCGGTTGACACCATTTAGGGGGGTGACATCAAGGCAAAAAAAATAGCAAAATATATAGAGAAAAACTTGAGGGGGGTGCAAATCGAAAATTTGAACGTTTGTCCCCGGGAAGGGTCGCTACGCCCTCTGGGGGTGACACCATTTAGTGCCGCACCGGGTGACACCCGACCTCGCTACGCCCACTGCACCTTAGATGGTTAGTTCCTGATACAATTCAAGTTTAAGAAATGACAAAAAAAACACAACAAACAAAAACACATTAGTGTTGTTTGTACTCTGTATAGCACGACTTCCCGGATATTCAATATGTTGACAGTGTAGGAGTATTAGACAACTTTAGCGTGGAATTTTTTGTATACAATTTAGTGTAGTTTGACGACGGCTTTTCTCTGTCGAGTATGACAGCAATATTTTCCGGATATTCAATATATGATAAAACAGGAGTGGTCAAGGCAACTTGTGCGGTCGAGTGGTAGAGATATCAGTATGTACTGTGTAAGTCTAGAGATCAGATCCAAGCCACACAAGTATCAGACTTGTATCCCCGCAAAAGGAAAGGCAGCAGAGCTGAGATACTATGCTGATCGTATCATCCGCTAATTTCTATAGTTTGGGAAAAAGTTCAACTCTACTCTACATGCTAAATTAAAACTTCATGCAAAATATCCAAGATTAACAAATTGTATATTAGACAGTTTAAGGATATTCAAGCAATAAAAGTGTTTACCTTACTTTCTAGGTATTTTATCGTATCTGGTTTATATATGTTTTAAAAATATCATCAGGTTTGAAACAAATTTTTGAAAACAACTTTGTATTTTAATTTCCCCCCCCCCCCTTTTTAAATTCAACTCTTAATAGAGCAATAACCATTCATACTATCTTTCCATGCAGAGTTTTTTTTAGACATTTTTTCATTTTTCTCCGGAGAGAGGGGGGAAGAAAGGAGGAGGAAGGCGCATTTGAAACTTCACTTCCAGGGGAGGAGCGCACCGGGGGGGGGGGGGGGGGGGGGGTGGTTAAAGTACATATTTCCTAAATAAATTATAATATTTTTCTATACGTCGAGGAAGCGGGGTGTGGTGGTGGGGCGCTGAACGTGCTCCGGGGAGGTGGGACACAACACAGGAAAGACCCCCTGAAAGAAACTAATTTTCCACGCTTTTTTTTTGGCATTTGCTATTTATTTTCCATTTTTTCCTGTCTTTTCCAATATCTTTTCGCCAGGCTTTTTTGGGTCTCCGTCTTTTCCTTGATTGTTGTGGATTATATGCCATGCCTTGTCTGCAGAGTATCTTCCAGGCATCTCTTCGGGTAGGGGCTAAGCCCCCCCCCCCCCCCCCCGAAATTTTTTTACCGCCCCTCCGGACGAAATGAAATTTATATAATTTATATAGAAAATATATACTTTTAACAGTGTCCGCCCCCCCCCTCCCGAAGAAAGTCTACTGCCCCCCCCCCCCGAAAATTTTAAGTGCCCCCCCCCCCCGGAGAAAAAGTCTGGAAGAAACACTGCTTGTCTGGTAATACTAGTTGCCGGTTTCTCCAATGTGGTTTACTCATCGTTTCTTATAAATGTGTTTCAGGTACTTTTACCCACAAGGCACCGCAATAATCTGTTTCGTCTAATTCCGGACAGGTCCAGCTCACAGAGTGACCACCAGCAAATGTCCACCCACAGACACCCCTACTCCCTGTACTGGTGCGGACTGGTCTTCTTCGTGCTCGGCCTGTCCCTGATGACTGCGGGGGTCGGGACCAACTACTGGATGTTGAACCCGGTCCCCCCGGAGTCTCAGGGTCTCTTCATGTACTGCGACAACAAAGAAAACGTCTGCAATGTGATGTCTGAGAATGGTGAGTTGTGGGCGTGGTCAATCTTAGGTAAATGGTGAGTTGTGGGCGTTGTCAATCTTAGGTAAATGGTGAGTTGTGGGCGTGGTCAATCTTAGGTAAATGGTGAGTTGTGGGCGTGGTCAGTTTTTGTGTGAATGCTGAGTTGTGGGCGTGGTCAGTCGTGTTAGAATGGTGAGTTGTGGGCGTGGTCAGTCGTGTTAAAATGGTGAGTTGTGGGCGTGGTCAGTCGTGTTAGTATGGTGAGTTGTGGGTGTGGTCAATCTTAGGTAAATGGTGAGTTGTAGGCGTGGTCAGTCGTGTTAGAATGGTAAGTTGTGGGCGTGGTCAATCTTAGGTAAATGGTGAGTTGTGGGCGTGGTCAGTTGTGTTAGAATGGTGAGTTGTGGGCATGGTGAGTCGTGTTAGAATGGTGAGTTGTGGGCGTGGTCAGTCGTGTTAGATTAGTGAGTTGTGGGCGTGGTCAGTCGTGTTAGAATGATGAGTTGTGGGCGTGATCAGTTTTTGTGTAAATGGTGAGTTGTGGGCATACAAAAGGAATATACATTTGTGTGTGTGTGTGGTATTTGCAAGTGTAGTGTACACATATGTTAGACAATTACTAATTCATAATATGTAGTGTAGCGCATAACCAAAGCTGAGGCTATGAGCACATTTTCTTTAAGTAGGTTTATCGTGTGCGTATGAAACCCGTATATTATATGATTATCATAAGGATGATACCACGATAATGAATAGGTTTAATGTCATGATTATCATAAGGATAATACCCATACTAAATCTGTTTTTCGAACCTTCCAGAACAGCGCTCGGTGGTGCAAGGTCTGGAAATCACCGGCGCCCTGGTGGGTACAGTGGCGGCCTTCATGTCCATCATCTACTTCTTGAGGTTTCCACAGGCGGTGCCGACAACGTTCAAGGTGCCAAACCTGGTCTGGTTGTTCTCTTCTATAGGAGGTCAGTTCTGTGGGCTTGGTGGGCTTTATATATAGAATATCTTAGGTCAGTTCTGTGGGCTTGATGGGCTTATGGGTAGGTTAGATCAGTTATGTGGGCTTACGTGTAGGTTAGTTCAGTTCTGTGGGCTTGGTGGGCTTTATATAAAGTGTATCTTAGGTCAGCTCTGTGGGCTTAAGTGTAGGTTAACTCAGTTGAATGATTTGTGAGGTTAAGTTACGTGATTTGTGTGTGGGGTTGGCGTGGTCTAGTCGGTAAAGCTCATGGTTGCTAAACCGAAAAGTCTCAAGTTCGAAGCCTCGGGCAGATGAGGCTCGCTAGCTGGGGACAGCGACTCTTCTAGGAGAGACAACTCCAAAATCCAACAACTGCTGCCTTGTAGTTTGTTCTTGGTTGGACAAAGGCTATGGAAGCAAATCCAAAAAAGAAAAGCAGGCTGAAATCGGAGTCAATGGCGCATAACCAATTGACAAGTATACTGTCTTAATTGTGTTGGAGGGGATCCCTTCCAACACTAAAATTAAGAACGAAGACGAAGAAGAATGATTTGTGAGGTTAAGTGTACGTTACGTCAGTTGTGTGATTTATTAGGTCAGTAATGTGGTTTGTAGGTTTAAGTCTATGTTAGTATGATATTCTCAGCTTAGTAGAGGGTATTCGGATTGTTTAAAAGAAAGGATTTAAAAAAAAATATATAATCACAAACCTATTGGGTGAAAAAGAAAAAGCAAAGATAATACGTTAAAATCATATTGTCAAAACTAAATATTGGCATGTTTATTTTCATATGACCGGAGAAAAATAAAATAAAATAAAAACATGGTTTATGTAATAACTGGCCATGTTCTTGAAATAAGATTCAGGGAATAATTTGTGGCTAAGTATTATGCTCTAGGGCAGGGGCTTGGTGCATGCCAAGTGTGTCACAAGCATATGACGTAAACAATAACATGTGTGTTTCTATTTCAGGCTTGCTGGGCGTGGTCGGCGCTGGTTACTACGCCATCAACATCTACATCCCGTTGAAGATCAACACGGCTCAGCACTTTAACATACAGCTGGGCTACTCGTTTGGTCTGGCCCTGTCGGGTTCCATAATCCTCCTGATGTCTGGCGCATTCATCCGCGTCGGCGCCGCGAAAATGATCAAGGTCGTCTTGTCCGGGAGACGGAATAACACCTCCCGACCCCCGGGGGTTGCGACAGTATCGGAAAATTTCGCGTACGATCCGGACAGTTTCGCACCCCCCTTGTACCACACGGTGTGTCCGCCGTCGTATTACGACACCAAGCACCTGCCGCCCCCGCCGAGTTACGATGAGCTCGTGCAAGGGACGCAACCGCCGCCTGCTTATGGACAAGTGGATTATCTCGAGTTGCATCCCTTGTCGAGTTATCCCAAGACTGAGCAATGACGAGGGAAGGGAAGCAACCGCTAATTTTCCACATGTGAATGTTTTCTTCCGTTGTTGTATTCATGCAGGGATTTCGAAAGTAACAAAGCTATATTTAAAAAAAAAAAACAACAACACAATGTAAACAAACAACAATGGAGGGTGATGAGGATAAAATAGTTTGTGTTTGTTGTTGACGGATGTACAAGCCTGACTTAAACAAGAGAAGGGTTTATTTCAGACATTTTGTTTCCATTTTTGATAGGGCGGGGGGGGGGGGGGGGGGGGGGCGCACTCGTAGAGATGCCTGAAGAAGAAGAGATTCATGTATAATAACAAGGAAGTTTGAAATGTACAACTTTTGTCTAAACAGAGTCAATTCTCAAGCGAATTTGAAACCGTGTTTTGAAATAGAACGTGGAAGGCCCAAGAACTACCTTTATACAACTGAGGGTGGGGGCAAAGGGAGTGTGAGAGTAGGGGTTTGGGGGAGGGGGAGTTGAAGTGTGGGAGGGTGGGGGAGGTGGGTGGGGTGTTATCATCCTTTAAAAACCAGATTCACACCGTTACATTCACTAGACATTTCATCATTGCTCATTGCATCTTTTTTTTTCTTTTTTTCCCTCCATTTCTTCTTCTTCGTTCTCTATTGTATTAACGGAACGGGGTTTCCTCCAAACACAATTAAGTATCACCTTGTTATATGGCCCTTTGACTCCGATTTCAGCCTGCTTTTCTTTCTGGATTTGCTTCCATAGCCTTTGTCCAACCAAGAACAAACTACAAGGCAGCAGTTGTTTGATTTTGGAGTTGTCTCTCCTAGATGGGTTGCTGTCCCCAGCTATCGAGCCTCACTACCGGGGGGTTCGAACTCGGTATATTTCGGTTTAGTAACCGACATTTTTAAAAAATTTTAAATTTGTCAGAGATTTTAAATTTTCATAATTAGACCATCTCACTACATTTGCTACACCGTTACCAAACAAAGAAGACAGGACAACGCCTTCCTTTCCTCTACTGTTTGAAGATTTAAATCGCATTATTATTATTATTACCAGGATAAAGGCTTTTGTGGGAAAATGAGAAGAAATCCTGTGTCTTAAAATAAAAAATCTTTTGAGGTTTTATCCTCGCATTGTCCGGTTCATGCCTTAGAAATTTTAAAAGAAATCTATAAGTAACATTCTTTATACGGAATTTAGTACTAGCCTATGGAACAACACCTTCTTTTAAATCATTATTCCCTGGATTTAGCCTGTTGAACAATGCCTTTTTACTTGTAAACTACCATTCCCTTAAGCTAGCCCACATAAATCACTGTATATTACATGTAATTTCTCATGTATTTTAGTGTAAGTTCTCATGTATTTTACGGTGTAATTTTTACGTGTAATTTCTCATGTATATAGCCCACAGATTGTGAAAGAAACATTCGCTTGTATATAATCGTTTTTATCATGGATTTTTATCTGCTCAGTTATTGAAAATACTGCTAATGTGATATATTGAATGTAAATATTTTTTAACACATGAAAATACATGATTTATTTCCCCACTTTGTTGAAATTTTAAAATATATTATGTACATATATAATAAACCAGTGTATTTTATATAGCTTTTAAGTTTTGTTATAAATAATTTTATATCCTTCTCGGAAAATCACCATTTGGTCAATAAGGCTGCTAGCACCTTATTTGCTGTATCTAAGATTCAGATTCTAAGATAACACTGGAAATGATTTACAAACAGGGTCGGCGCTACCTATAAGGCAAACTAGGCGGTCGCCTAGGGCGCTGTCCGTAGGGGGGGGGGGCGCAAAAATGGGTTGGAAGAACAAATTGAAAGTTTGAGGGGGGTGCAAATCGAAAGTTTGAGGGGGGGGGTGCAAATCGAAAGTTTGAGGGGGGGGGGGGGTGCAAATCGAAAGTTTGAGGGGTGGGGTGGTGCAAATCGAAAGTTTGAGGGGGGGGGTGGTGGTGCAAATCGAAAGTTTGAGGGGGGGGGTGCAAATCGAAAGTTTGAGGGGGGGGGGGGTGCAAATCGAAAGTTTGAGGGGGGGTGCACATCGAAAGTTTGAGGGGGGTGCAAATCGAAAGTTTGTCCCCGGGCGCCGGGAAGGGTCGCTACGCCTCTGATAATACGGGGGCACGAAAATTTTTTAAATTAAGTTTTGCCTAGGGCGCTAAATAACCTGGCGCCGGCACTGTTTACTAAAGACGAAATTTAAGACATTTAATGCATGTGAAAGTATCTATTTCTATGATGGACATACCTAATTATACAACAATATTTTCATATGAACCAGAATTTAAAAAAAAATGTGTATATAAGTTACAGGCTACTTTTTAAATAAAAACTGAAATGTGGATAAAATCAATTCGTTCAAGACTTTAAGGCTACATACAGTTAAAAGAGTTTGTAACAATCGAGTATTTGGACTTCGCGTAGTATTGTTTCTATGGTAACGCCAAATCGCAAAGACGGGAAATAGCTTGGGTTATTTGGTTTTATCTCAAACTTTGGGATTAATGAAGTGTTGTTTATCTCAAACTTTGGGATTAATGAAGTGTTGTTTATCTCAAACTTTGGGATTAATGAAGTGTTGTTTATCTCAAACTTTGGGATTAATGAAGTGTTGTTTATCTCAAACTTTGGGATTAATGAAGTGTCGTTTATCTCAAACTTTGGGATTAATGAAGTGTCGTTTATCTCAAACTTTGGGATTAATGAAGTGTTGTTTATCTCAAACTTTGGGATTAATGAAGTGTTGTTTATCTCAAACTTTGGGATTAATGAAGTGTCGTTTATCTCAAACTTTGGGATTAATGAAGTGTCGTTTATCTCAAACTTTGGGATTAATGAATTGTCGTTTATCTCAAACTTTGTGACCAATGAAGTGTCGTTTATCTCAAACTTTGGGATTAATGAAGTGTTGTTTATCTCAAACTTTGGGATTAATGAAGTGTTGTTTATCTCAAACTTTGGGATTAATGAAGTGTTGTTTATCTCAAACTTTGGGATTAATGAAGTGTTGTTTATCTCAAACTTTGTGACCAATGAAGTGTCGTTTATCTCAAACTTTGGGATTAATGAAGTGTCGTTTATCTCAAACTTTGGGATTAATGAAGTGTTGTTTATCTCAAACTTTGGGATTAATGAAGTGTTGTTTATCTCAAACTTTGGGATTAATGAAGTGTTGTTTATCTCAAACTTTGTGACCAATGAAGTGTCGTTTATCTCAAACTTTGGGATTAATGAAGTGTCGTTTATCTCAAACTTTAGGATTAATGAAGTGTTGTTTATCTCAAACTTTGTGACCAATGAAGTGTCGTTTATCTCAAACTTTGGGATTAATGAAGTGTCGTTTATCTCAAACTTTAGGACCAATGAAGTGAGGTTTTATCTCAGATCATAGGACCACAAAATTAGGTTTTTATCTTAATAACTTGAAGACCGGAGAAGAGAAAAAAAAATGAACCATGTCGGACGAAGACACTCACACACACACCTCCTGTGTCAGAGGAAGAAAGGAGAAAATCTTTTCGTCACCAGAAATCATGCAAGCATGAAGGACGGACTCCAGATGAGAGATAATGAGAGTTCCTTTATAACTGCGTAACCCTTGCATATAATGATTTGCTATCTTCAAGTCATGACCACGACAGTTCTTGTGTCAGAGGCGTAGCGACCCGTCCCGGCGTCAGGAGACAAACTTTCAATTTGCACCCCCCTCAAACTTTCAATTTGCACCCCCTCAAACTTTCCATTTACACCTCCCATATATTTTTTATATTTATAATGCAAAACTGCAGCTAAAATGAGATTTTAATTTGTTTTTCCATCCCGTTTTTGCGCCACCTAAGGTCGGCCAGGGGACATATTTTACCCCCCCCCCCTCGCTACGCCTCTGTCCTGGGTTTCCCAAACTTCTAGAAAGATTTCCTGTTGGTGTCATCCTACATCAGCTTCACATCATTAACTGCACTGGCTCGGCATTCGACTGTTTCTTGGACTGTCATATTTACTTTCCTGTCAAGGGTGTTCCCCCCCCTCTCAGAGATTCCCCCCACCCCAACCACCTTTATTATACTTTAAGATCTTTAAGATCTAAAGGTTACAAAATCTTTACATCACCGCCAGTGTAGATAAAGATTATTAAGCAGATCTTTATGACAGTGTTCAGCTTTTCAAGACCAGACTCTTCACTGTTGCCCATTTGAAAAGACTGATAAACGCATCACGTACTCGAACCCGCAAACCAAATCGATACTTTTGTACATATCACAGATACGAGCTAAAAGTATTACAGGGAAGGACCATTGTTTACTCTATTTCATGTGTACAGTCTGGTGTACTAAAGGGATGTGATCAGCGTACATATACAGACTAAACTGATGTAATCAGCTTACATATACAGCTAAGTATACTGTACTAAAGGGATGTGATCAGCGTACATATACAGACTAAACTGATGTAATCAGCTTACATATACAGCTAAGTATACTGTACTAAAGGGATGTGATCAGCGTACATATACAGTTGTGTATAGTGTACTAAATTGATGTAATCAGCGTACACATACAGCTGTGTATAGTGTACTAAAGTGATGTAATCAGCGTACACACACATTTGTGTATAGTGTACTCTAGTGATATAATCAGCATACACATACAGCTGCGTGCATAGTCAGTAGACCATCCTTGAGTCCACCCAACTCAAACTTTGGGACCAACGAAGTGAGTTTTTATCTCAGATCATAGGTCCAAGAAATGCTACTGTCCGAAGAGCCTGGTACGTCGGACTCCAAAGTCCTCTACATGATAGCGAGCCAGGAGATTTGTCCGCACTAGACGGGCGAATCTCCGTTGCTTGCTATAAATAGCGTGGGGGAGGAGAGGTGCAAGACTGCCGGGAACCAAGAAGGGTTTTGCTCTCGACCCTAACCAGATGTCTTGACTTTAAGCTGCGGCCTTCACGTGGCTCCGGGTGTGTGCCACTAGTCGGACCAAGCTCATGACCCCCCTAGTGGGTGCGGGATGGCTAGTGGTAGCCAACAGCAGCTAGAGGTTTTTGATCTGGCCGAGTAGAACTGCTGTATGCGTTCGGCTCTTCCGAAGAGCCTGGTACGTCGGACTCCCAAGTCCCCCACATAATAGCGTGGGGGAGGAGAGGTGCAAGACTGCCGGGAACCAAAAGAGTCCGCCGCCAGATCTTTCTTTTGACTTTAAGCGGCGGCCTTAACGGGGCTTCGGAATAATGCCACTGGTC